TACGAATTTACCGAGGAATTTACATTAATTACAATATTGTTTGTGTTGAACGATGGATAATTTATGTATATATACATGACAGTAATTCAACGAATGATAATTGTACAGTTTGTGCCATCTTCGCAAAGCCTATACTTTGCTTAAATTCGTGAATAAATAATACGATAGTATTAACAATGTCTTTTGTTACAGAGCTGAAGTTTCTTTTTATTTATAACAATCCGTCGATTTGAATTCCGTGGCTATGACACAATGTTAGATTAGTACAATATTCTTCTTTCATTAAAGAATAATGGACCACAACACTAAAAGAATATTAAAAAATTAATTACCAAGTAAATTATTATTTTTCATTTAGTAAGAAAAGCATAAATTTTAAAAAATTACAATTAGCGAATATTAATTGTAATGTTGTATTTTTTTAAGAACAACATTTTTGTTTATTAATGTTATAAGCTATTTCAAAAAAGTGTAACGCTCTATTTCGGTGTCGCCCATAAGCGTAGGTAAACTTTGTACAATTACTCTTGATCCTTATTGTAAATCCCATACTAATAAATAGGTGTTCTTATACTCCCTTATGTTAAACACCTAATTATACACCGATATATAGCGTCAAAGCGGAAAGTGCCATTTTAACGCGTCAGTTTCGTTTCCCACAGATCCGAGTCACTTCACACATTCCGGATGTCTTCGGAGATGCCGCACGGCTTGAATTTTGACATTTGTCCATTCTGACGGTCATTGTTGTTTTGCAAAAGTATACCCAAAAACTATCGGTCGTAGAATAAGTAAAAGTTTGGTAAACGTATGAAGTCACTGGTTTATTAAACTCGTGACTCAAATGCCATTTACCATACTATTGACCACTTCCCATCCAATTTACCATTTTACCATCCGATAAATTGTTCCTCATTGTTATTTTATGAAGGAGTAAAAGAAAATGGATGACAGAGTAATTAAAATATAGTTGGGGTAAGGTCTTTATATTTGGTTAGTTTAACAAGTCAGTATTCGCTGTTAACCCGTAGTGTTGACAGTATTATAAGATTAGTAATAAAATTGCATTAGATGAAAAAGTTATTATTTTAAATGTGCATTATATCATAATAGTATATTATGCGACAAGCGCGGTAAACGGTATTTGACTCACGAGTTTATTTGACACGCGCGGAGCGCAGCGGAGCGACTGTTTAATAAACGAGTGACTTAAAAAGTTTACCGAAAGTGCTGCATACTATACTTTTTCTACGACCGTTACTTTTTGGGTCCATTTTCGCAAAACAACACGAATACATTCACTGACATGATCGTCAGAATTGTCAAACGTTACAATTCAAGGCGTGGGAAATATCTCCGAAAACATCCGATTTCTCCCAAACCCGTGCGATAAATTCCCGGAAATGTCCGAAGTGGCTCAGATCCGTGGGTAACGAAACTGAAGTGGCAAAGTGACGCTTCCCGCATGCTAGATCGGTGTGTAATTAGGATTTTTACAGACGGGAGTAGAAAAAATATGTTTTCCCGAATTTTGCTCTACAGTATTGCGGTTTTCGAGACCAAGCTACTATTTTATGAAATTAAAGATGGTACAAACAGAAATGTCATAGCCATCTTGGATTTTTAGATACAAGGTAATTTTTAAACATCCCCTGTAGTTCGGTTATGCGTTAAACTATTGTAAAATTAAAAACTGGTTTGCATAGGTTTTCTTGCGTAGGATTCCAGTGACGTAGTCAGTTTTCTCCTACAACTCTTACATCTTGATATAAAAATTGAACTTGTGTTCTTTTTTAAAGGAACATGCTTTATGTATTTTAGTAATTCTATTGGATTTTTTATTAACTTTTTAAAAAATTGTAACATCCAATCTCAAATATCTTTAATTTTATATTTTTACAAGTAGGCCATGGAATATACAGATTTTTTTTACAAAAATTACCTACTTCATTACAAAAAGTTAGTTGTGGTTATTTTTCGTTAATTACATCTCAAAATGTGTGTGTGCAATATTAAATGCGCATTGATAATACGTCCCTGTTAAAACCAATTTCTCATATTTTGGGTTAACATGAGTCATAGCAAACGGAACAGACACCTTTTTTCCCTAAAATTAAAGATATATGCTTTTAAATGAGAAATACTTATTATTTATTACTTAAAAAAAATCACCTTTTCGCTAAGTTAACGCATAATCGAACTACAAAGGGTGTATAAAAATACATTTTCAAGATTACTCTGTATCTAAAAATCCAAAATAACTATGATATTTTTGTTTGTGCCACCTTTCATTTCATTAAAAAGCATTGGCACAAGAATGGGACACACTCTACAAGAAAATGCCGATAAACATTCCGCAATAACTGGAATTGGTAAGTTCTCAGTTTTGAAGTAAATGTGGGAGAGCAAAGACAGCAGGTCGGTGGAACCTCCCAAGAACCAGAAAAAGTCCTATATTTTTTTCATGTAAATTTTCAAAAAAATGCGTTTGACGCATATGGCCACTGGAAACATAGAGTGCCAACCTTTGCTGATAATACGCGAAACATTTTTGAATTGATCCGTTCAACAAAATATCGTTTTTAAACAATCGCCTGACGGCATTCAACAAACAATATGGCCGCTGACAGATCGTCAATAATAATGAATAGGACTTTTTACGGCAATATTTTCTCAAAATATGTCCAGATCCCAATAATGCATATAACCATTTCACCTGCCCTAGCGAATTTCTATTAATTTTTTGCATTTATTTTTTGGTTACTACAAATACAGAGTTAAATAATTAATTAGAATTAGGGGTAACTTAATTTTGTATTTGATTTGTAGGGTAGGTACGTGACAGGCTTAATTATATTTATTGATTAAATACACAGTTAAATAATGCTGCGAAACTTTTGACCGAATTCATTTTTTATTCTTTGCCTCATCATTTACTAATTACATGCGCATGGAAATGCACGAAAATATGGCTAATTTAGCTCTAGTAATAAATGTAACAATTTGCTCAGTTCGTCTCTGTCAGGCGCCTGGAGTCCTAGACTAAAACAAACATCTTCACCAAATAGCGAGCGGTTTCCAACGTTTCCCCTTCATTCCTCATTAACTTTCAAATAAATTTCCTAGTGTTTGGCGAAAGTTGGGGTGTATTTTTTCGAACTAAAGATTGAAATTTGAGTTATACATGTCAATTTCTTGGATATTTCTTAATATTTTTTTAATTTTAAAGAATGCCGATTCATAAAAATATAAATCATAAAAAATAACATATTTTATAAATAAAAACGAAATTTAATATTTGCGAACTCTATTATTTAAATATATTTCAGAGGGTTTAAGCCGACAAAAGCAACTGCCTATTTCACTACAAAATTTCACTTTTTTACTATTTCTGAATTTGAAAACACGTTTTCGATGTCACTTTTGCTGAGGCACTTCTGATTTTGGGCTTCTGGACAAATTGTATCCCTAAATACATAAAGATTTCGGGCACTTTGAACCCAGCTTAGAACTATTTTTGTTATACAGGTAAAAAAAAAATAAGGATAATAGAAAACATATTTTCAAATCTTATTTTGAGTTTGAGGCACTACGATGACAGGCCAGTTTCTGAATAATAGAGTTCTAGAGTCCTCATTTTACATTTAAAAAACGCTGGTAACTTTTGAATTTTCAATAGCCATTAAATTTTTTTGAACTTTTGAATTTAAAAAATTATTCAATACACTTAGTTGGTCCCAACTATTTTTTAAAATTTTGACATTTTTAATTTGGTCGGTCATATGAAGTTTTGAATAAAAACAACTGACTCACTTCACTCATGTGAACTTTCTGCAAATTCCTCAAACGCACTTTCGGCGGTCGCGCGGTGTTATTATTCCAAGAATTATTTGCCAAGTTTCCGGTTTCGTTGGTATTACTACCGGCACATAGTAAATTGCTCCAAGGCACGGGAGGATTTTGATTCCTTAGAGGAGGTAAAATATACAACATCGCGTTATTCAGAATTCTACTGAGATGAGCCGGTAAAAAAATATTTAATTTAACGAAGGAGAATAAAACACGCACGCACGTCCATTTGCGAACATTGTGCCACACTTAATACGCACAGGTTCAGTTTATTAAATGTTCGGTTAATAGAAAACTCATGTGTGGAATGCGAGACAAAAATATCCGCACCGCCAAAACACTTCGCTACCATAGGCGAAACAAACTAAAACTGTCAGTGACTTGAAACAGCTGCATTCTAAACAAACCACGATCGATACGCCAACCTTACAAAGCAGAAATCCCTAGTACCGTTACTTGGGGTTATTTCTATATAAGGAATAAATATTCCAAATTCGGTATTTTTTTACATTTCTGTAAAGATTTATGGTATTTACAACGTATTATAAAGGTATAGCTTACTCCACGGTGTGCATTATGTAAATAAACGGCAATATATATGATTTCAACAGTGCTTTATCTAAAGTAAACAAAACCTTACACTAATCAGGAGATAATAATAGTTGATAAAAAGAGAGGTTCGTCTAACCAAATAACTTTGCATTTCATATATATACATATACATTAAAATTTTAAAATTCTCAATTCTCGATGTTTAGAATTTACCACTAACCAAAAAAATGTCACTATACTTACGTGATTTGGAGAACTAGTGGAACTGGGACTTCGCTGTATTGTCACTAAGGCCATATCAATAGAAAATAATGAAAAGGGCGAAACGACACTACTACACATACGAGTTATAAAAATAAAACACTATATAATTTCAGGTAACTCTCACGTCCGCTACATGTTTTGACATTTTTTTGTCACTAAATTATCACAAACCTCAAACATCCCAGTCGTCAAATTTGATGCTTTTATCATGCCCAATCAAAATCTGCTTCGCGAACAATTGAATTAGAATTATTGGTGGCTCCATCTAGCGGTCGATTTTTGTTTTGATTGAAAGAAAGAATATAAATTAAACATTTACTTTAATGGGTATATTACTTCTTAAACGAAAAACCAAAAAGCCCAAATACAACAAATAAAAACCTTCACCAAAACAGCAATAATTATGGTAATAACTATTTAATTAAGGACTTGTCTTTTGTGTGGACGAACCAGGGTAACAAAATTGGGAAGGCAATAACTCCTATCAGATGGTCCGCGATCCAAGAGCTGTCCATTTGTTCTATTTGTCTAGGTTATTCAAAATTTTAATAAATAATATTTGCCAAATTATGGATTTTCGTAAAATATTGCTTGCTAGAAATTTAAATCAAATTCGACATTATTGTAGTAAAAGGAGGTATAGTGTAGGTATATTTTTTTTATTGAAATAATCATCACTTCCATTTCAGAAAAGAAACCCTTCCTGAGAAATCACCGTTTAAAAATATGCAAATGTTTAGCAGGGATGGAGATAACGGTACCTCAAAACTTCTCTCGGGAGAAATTCTTCCCAAAGACCATCAAATGTTCGTAGCTATAGGTGCCACAGAAGAATTGCTGAGTTATATTGGGTGCCTATTACCCACTGTACTAAATTCTTCTATATTCCACAAATTATTTGTAGATTAGCTCGGGAATATGCCTACGAGTCTGAGCAACTATATACGGACAAATTAAAGAGAATTCAAACCATTGTTATTGATATTAGCACTGCAATTTCTAGAAATAACAAGGTTACTATTTTACCTATCTACACCAAAGAGTTGGAGGACTGGATACAGGAATATGCAAAACAATTATCACCACCAGAACAACACATAATTCCTGTAAGTTTTCTAAATATTTCTTAACGTTGCCTTTGATTTTGTAGTTTATTGTAGGGAGGGGGTATAGCAAGTGCTTCTTTACATGTTGCCCGGGCAATTTGCAGAAAAACAGAAAGGGTGGTGCTTCCTTTAGTCAGAGAAGAAAAACTTGATAAAGAAGCTGCTGTTTATCTTAATCGTCTTTCAGATTTTCTCTTTACCGTTTCCAGAATTGCTGCAAAACATGATCAAAGAAATGAGAATATTTACATACCCAAACCAGATGAAAAAATCCAGGCCCAGTAAATGAAAAATTTTTTGGATTGTTATTGAAATCGTTCTCCTTTTGATTTTCTGTGCTGATTAGCAGTCAATTTAAAGAGAAAGAGAGAGAAATTGAGAGAGAATTCATAGACCCTAGTGTTTAACTTAAAAAATTGATTATTTTTCCTACTTTTTGTCTCAGCAAAGAATATAATCTATGTTCTTATGGTTTTTCCTCCTTGTTCCTTGTAGCTTCTGATACATGGCAGATGTCTAGATTTTATATTTAGTTGCTAACAAATTCCATAAAAAAAATGTGAAATTGTTATTAATAATAAATTATTAAAGAAGTTTCATTTTCCGTTACTTGCAAGAAAGTAAGTTCAGTCATATGGAAAAATTATTCAAATGAATTTTAATTGTTGATATCTTGGAAAATCAATTAGTTATATCCAGTTCATGAAATAATTATTTAATTATATTAATTAATAATTATGAATTATGACAGTGTTTCTTATTTTGTTTTTTTTTTCAACCACCTGGGCTATATTTTTGAGACCAAAGTTTTCACAAACAACAAAACTGTGGGCACTCTTAGTTTCTGAGCTACAGAGTGATTAAAAATAGGGCATTCTCAGGGACCCCTTGTAGCTCACTGACAATAAATTTGGTAGAAATGATTTAAGGTGTACATTTTTTTGGAAAACACATTCACAATCAATCTCAATTGAAAAGTCATCAAGATGCTGATTGCCAAAGTTTCGCTAGCGTGATATGAATTTGCACTAGATTTATAAATTGGCTTGAATTTTTGATTGGCGAAAATTCCACTATTAGCAGTTAAGATTAGCTTTTTTGTTAAAATATTTCTTTCATTTGCTGAATCAATATTTCAACAATTACTAATCAAAAACGAAAGCTTACTAAAATTTTGTTTTTAAACCCAGTTCACAAGTATAGTGAAAATTTATATCATTATTTGTCATAAAACTTCATTTAAAAAAAAAATCAAAAATTGACAAATTGTAAATTTTGAGGTTGCTTTTTAAAATAACTATATACAACTATTCATTCATAAAAAGTTAACATTATTTACGAAATAAAGTACAATAGATAGGCTTAATTAAAAAATAGGGGTTTAATAACTCTTTGATCTGACCTCGTCACTTGCGAGAAAAGATACAGAGGTAACTTCTTTAAAGATCTCAAAAACAAAAAGCGCCAGGGAACTTTCGTTTGTGCTATTTTTCGTTTCACAAATAATAAGTAGCATACACGAAAACAATATTGTTTCATTGCTACAGACAAGTGAGATAACCCACAAAACCAAATAACAAATCCAGAACGGTGCAGAACCCCCACATATTAGTTGGTAAATCATTGATAAAATTCAAGTTAGTATTATATGTGAATGAGGCTAAAAAAAATTACATAAGTTCACGTGTCAATTTATGTTCCTACTTTTATGGTTCAATTTGTTGATATAAGGGAACACTGGAATTTTAAGAATCATAATGAAGCACAACTTCTGTCCATAAATGGTACTCACTCCCTTCAGACATTCTCATTCATCATCTTCAAACATCTATTTCCACACACAACAAAATGACACATTTATTTGTAAATTAATACTTAAGAAAAAAAATTACACTTAGAAATATATTAAATATATTCATCCCCTAAAACTACTTCCTTGTATGACAACACTTCCAAAAATGCACCACCCTTTGTCTCTGACTTTACAATAGAATCAATTTCCTTAAAACACCCTGGATCAAGAAGCAGCACCAATGTAATTTCAGTTTCATCCCTTTCTTCGCTTTCAACCTCAACATTTTCCATTTTTGCCAGTTTTTCCTTGAGCTTTTTTGCCTCTTTCCCATTAAAATTGACTTTTAACCTCATTTTTGCTCTCTCAATTGGTATGGAATCTTTGAGCAATTTTATGACACTCAAAGCTTGTTGCTTAGTAGACTGATTTAGTTTCACAGAGTAATGAGCATCTTTCATGGCTTTTTCTATCAATGTCACTGGATATGGTCTTTTTAATTCTGGGTTTAAACATTTAGTTGCAACGGTTGTCGCTATATCTTTGAAAAGTTGATCAATCTGACTCTGCCGTTCTTTATCTGAGACTTGCAATTCACCCTTGGCAAGGATTTGTTTACATATTTCTGTCTGATTGTCAGTTCCAAAAGCTTTTAGCAAATCTTCCTTCTTCGCAACTTGACCCTTAGAAACATTGGTAAAGACAGTGTGAGTTTGAAGAACTTCGTCAATATCTTTTTCGCTACAAAGAGAATATTAGTTATGCACCAGAAAAAGAGTTTTTTTGATACATACACTTGGTTTCTCCACGATACAACTTTATTGCGGTAACATGCTATTTCAAAACGCTTTCCTCCTTTTTTTGTTCGAACGACTGCGACGTTGGTCAAACGGATTTGGTTTGTCGGGGTAAATATTTTACTCATTTGTAAATTGTGTAATTACGTCTATAAACATAAGATACTATAATTTTCTCTAAGCATTGAATCTTTCTCTATGACTATGCATGGCGCATGAATTCTATGGTTTTTTAGCAAAGTTTGACAATTTTATTTTGACAGTCATGGATATTGCTTTTTTACATTTGGTAAGTAAACTTTTAAAGCGCCTTATTTACTAGAATTTGATTGAAATATGATATATTATTTATTTCTCAGACTAAACCTTACACAAAAGACCTAATTAAAGAATGAAACTTTTTTTAATTACTAATAATGAAATTCGAAGCGATTGCGTTTCTCATATTGCACGACTCACCCTTACAGATTTGCCCAAAGATAAATTATATCTTGCATTTTGTATTACGACTTCATTTTATGTTCGGCTAATTCTATGGTCCTATTATTGTTTCAGTGATTTACGTTTATTTGTTTTGAAATATTTTAGAATCAGATTTTTTTAAATAAAATAAAATGACCAAAGAATGTGAAAACATTTTGTTTTCTACAAGGGGGGTTCGCAATGACATCGACATATATCCTCAAAAACGAAAACGAGATCCAAATTTCAGTACAAATGAAATACAACTCTTAGTGTCCATAGTAAGCAAATATGCGCATATTACAGAAGACAAAAAGACGGATAGATCTTCTGTAGAAACCAAAAATAAAGTATGGAAAACAATAGAAAAGGAATTTAATGCTTCAAATTCTGAGGGCCTGTTTAGGAATGCACAAAAATTAAAAAAATGTTTTGAAAATAGAAAACATGAGATAAGAGTGATGGAGATAGAAAAATCAAAAAGGAAATACCTTGGCAGTAAAGCTTTTTTCGAAGAAGAAAACAACTTAATTAAAAATGGAGCATCTGATGAAAAAGAATATATTCAACCTTCTAGCTTGGAAAGTCATTATCTTGAAAAGCGAGATGGGAGTGAGGAAATGAAACTATCAACAATGAATGACAAATCTTTATACAGTCTTGAGTTTAATGGGTTTGATAGTAGAAGAACTGATCCTCTCAGAAAGGGTGAAGATAATATGGAATATATGTATGACAGTGAAAACACTCAGGGTGTAAGCAGTAAAAATTATAACACTTTATTAAAATAATCATGTGGTTTAATAATTACTCTTTTTAGAATGAAATTGAAAGTTCAAATTATAAACTGTCAGATGTTGGTTCATCAGACATTGAATATGCCTGTGAATGCGAATTAAATACCAATATGGAAGAAGTAGGTAACTGCAAGCAATATTTGAAAGATGTGTTTTCTGTCTACGCAGTTGTTTGAAAATTTACTTCCAACATTTTATCTGCATCAGGATTTCACTTCTTGACAGTTACAAATACAATCTAAAAATACTCTTTAAATACAACCACTGCATTTGCAACAGTTTAATTGGTTTTTAAGATACCTTTTTTTTAGCAATTATTCTAGCTGGTTAAAAAATGTAACCAATCATACGATGTGCTCTAGAAGTTACCCAAAAAATAATTCTATTGTTGCTGTTCTGTGAGATCTGCTCTTTCTCTTGAGAGTAAATTTTCAAATTGAACTGGTTCAAAAATCAAAAAGAAAAACATTTTTTCAAGAACAATAAAGTTTTTTGTTTGATACTAGGAACATTCAAGTGGGGGGAAACACTCTTGCCCATGTATAAAGTGTCACAAGTTCATTTTGCCAAAATTTCAAGAGAAATATGATAAACTGCTTGATAAGAGACTGGCACTTATAGCAAATCAGATAGAAGATTTTGAAGAAGAACGTGACTTTAGAAAAAAGGAGAGGAAGCTTAAGCTACAATTATTGCACCTACAAATTGCAGCACTTAAGAAATAATAACTTTAAAATTTTGGTTAACTTTGGTTAGTTAATGTTATTATAACCATAATCCAGTTGATTTCACTGACTCAATAGTCTGTCAGGCGTGACTGTGACCACCATAGCATATTGTAGTGATAGAGCCCAATTTATCTTTGTCAATCTACTGGATAACTTATTCTCAACTTGTTGACAGATATGAAAAGACATTCAAACTGTGTGACTTATTCTGATAAAAAATATTTTTAAAACACTTAGAAATACCTAAGTTAATTGATCTTCCAGTGTGGTTTTACAACACACTGCTTGACAATTATTTTGAATTACTAAGCAATATTAATGAAAAAATTAGGAAAAAATCTAATATCAAATTTAAATAAACTAAGTATCATATTTATCTGAAAAGCAAATGCTATTTAAATTTTAAAATGTTATTTTTATGTTATGGTTCAGTAAAAAGGATAGTTTTTTTTCTTTTTTTTTTGTTCATTAGTAGTTTTTTTTATTCATGTTTCATGGTTCTACTTTATAACAATTTCTGTTCAAATACACTAAACTACAATAGTTCCTTGTATGAGTGTAACTGGATGTAAAGTAAAATTTATATATTTTTTTATATTAGTTTAAAAATATATATCCTTTTAGCGCTTTGTTGTTTTCTATAAATTCTATCTATACTTTGCTTTTGTATATTTCACTGTTTTCTCAGTATTAAGTATATGAAAATGTGACCTCATACACAGCAGTGTCAGCCCGAAAGGCTCAATGGTTGGGACGGAATTGTAAACATGTGTTATAGCAGAATTAATTTAGATAGATAGATAGATTTGTTTCTTTTTGCAGCAAAACAAATAATAAAAAATAGTTTTCGATAATTTTTACATTGGGGAATAAAATGTCAACATTATTTTGTTTTAAGATGTAAACAAGAAAAACGTTATTTACCTCTAATCTTTACCCTCAAAGATGATTTTAAATCATTTGCACCAGCAGCGAAGAAATGACTAAGTGCAGTTCTTTCCTTGGATAATAAAAAAATATTTGTCAATGGCGTTTTGTCATATAAATATAAATAGAATTAGTTTTTTAGTTTAAGTATTGCTCTTTATAAAAAATGCAATAAACATTTATTTGAACAATAATCAGTCTTCCAATTCAGCAGTTTATTAGTCAGGATTTTTCTTTATGAAATAATTGTATAATAAACTCTCACTGCCACCCTCCTTGAAACTGAGTTTTGGAAGATACATTTACATAAATATTTTATTGTACTTTAATCAAATTTAAATTTATCTACTCCACATACTGGTTATTTGACGCCCGTGCGCATATAGGTGATACGGAACGAATGTTTCTAAATTTTAATCTAATAAACTGTAAATAACTTTAGTTATGACTGTATCCACAATTTGTCCCATCAAATAGGCAACCATCTGAATGATTCTTAAAAAACCAACACGGTTTATCATTGTATCGATTAGTTTCTTCAGCTCTAATTGGAAGTCTTAACCTTACAGCACACTTGCTTATCTCAAACAAATACCGATGGTTTCTTAAAAGAGTCTGCAGACCACCACATTCCTTCCTTAGCCACTTTAGATCTTCTTTTTCTAAATTTTTCGCTAAATCGGATATCTGCACAGCCGATCCTTTATTCCATAATCCTCCATTAGGTTTAGCAATATAGTCAGCTTTTGATAACAGAATTTGAATACAAGATGCAACTAATTTTGAAATGACGCTTTTACCCAATTGCGTGCAATTGCGTACTTTTTCAGTATCACTTCTTTGAACTACGTCATTTGGAATTTTGGAGTCAACAAAATTTGAAACTTCCTGTAGGAGTTTATTGTAATTGTGTTGATCCTTTAATTTGCTTATTCCTATCAAACAAGTTCTTTTAGTTGATGGTATTCGCAATTTATCGAAATTTGTCTCAAAACCACATGTCTCGCATACATTTTTTATATAGTTCAGGTAATCTGCATATGAACTAATTGATCCATTGGTTCGAATATATTTTCTGCCAGAAAAATCATAAGGGCAACACGGAAGGACGAAAAAATTGGTGTGTGGACTACTTTTGAGAGCTATTACAGGTATCCAAGGTGTCAGCTCATCCGAGTGGTTCCCTATAATCCATGTGCATTCTGGAAACACCGAAGTTGGTGTTACTGTGTTAACCTATAAATTATAAGATATGATACAATCATAGCCTCAATAGGGCCAAAGATTTTGCAATTTAAAGTGAACATTTATATCTTTAACATACACAGGGCGTTATTTTGATCAACCATCAATTCTCATTTCAATAGTATCTAATTTTAGTATGAACAACTTGCAGCTGCAGTTTTATGGCCTCATTTTACTGGCCATTTAGCCATTTGGCTAATTAACAGTTCTCTACCTAGCTATGATCCATTAAGTTCTTGTAAATATGTAAGTATTGTATTTTAGATCTTTTTGGAAGGAACTTAAAAATACATTTTAAGTAACTAGTATCTTCAATCGCTAACTAAAATTACTTCTATGTTAAGATTTTCTGAAAATTTGGCTACAGTATAAGATTTAGAGAGTTTATGGAAGTCTCTCAAGAGAAAGAATGGGATGAAAATGATATCCATAGCCATTTTATTTTACACTTTATAACCCTTACCTGTCTTATAATTGTTGAATTTAACAATATAAGAGTTTAGATTGATTTAAAAAACACCTTGTGTATTACAGGACACTCACTAGCAGCTTTGTGTTATCTGGATATATATCCCAAATTGGTCTTCTGCGGACGTCCAAACCATATCCAGAAAAGCCTTCTTGAGTCAAGAGGTACACTAGAAGTCCATTACCGCATCCACAATCCACAAAATTGATATGTTTGTCAGTTTTCCAAATACAAATAAGAAAACTTGCGATTGCTATGTCCTCAAAAATATACTTTTGAGGATTTGTAGTTGTTCTTGAAGGCCATAATTTGATTAAATTTTGCCCATATTTATCTTTTAGAGTGTTGTAGATAGAACAATATTCATCAATATTTACAAGTGACAAAGAGTGTATTGTCTTCTTGCTTTCATTAAAATTGTCAATCCACTTCAAAAGTTTTGTAAATAACTTATCAGCAATCCACTGTGCATGAACAGTATCAGCATCTTCGAAAGAATCTAGGCTAATTACTAAATGAGAGTCCATTCCTAGCTGTATTTCATAAGCAAAAGGTGGAGCAATATGAAGCTTTTCATGATTATTTACACTAAGAAACCTTGCACGGTTGACATCTTTGTCGAAGGTTACAAATTCAAGAGACTTTTGGCAGCTTTTTGGCCTTGGAAATAAGACCCTGATAGAAACAAAGGTGCCACTGCAAGCAGCCTTGAAATCTTCTATGGTAATCAAAACCAACTTTGCATTTTTGTCATAACTCTTGACTAAAGCCATAACAAAAGCTAAATTGATAAAGTCCTTGGATATGGCTTTCAATTTTCTAACCTCATACAAAATGGCATATTTACTAAACAATTCGTTTAGGAGAATACCACTTTTGCTGAGAATAATTTGACAAAATACAGCTTGGGAACACGCCACCAGGTTACGATTTACTAAATGAGGCCTATCATGATATAATAAAACTGCTGCCCAAAATTTGTCAACCGAAACTATCGTCGAACTTGTAGCTAAAGGTACTCGGAACATATTCATCTAGAAGTCTTTGCTAGATACTAAAACGCAGAAAATAGAAAAAACTATTTACATTGTGAACAATTATTACCTTTTGCAAAATCCATTCACAATCTGCATAAGATCTTTCTATAATCTGCTTAATTCTGTCTGGGTCGCTTTCTGTTATGTGCTGCTTAAAACTCTACAAGCAAATTTCGAATTGAAAATGTTAAACCAATAAAAATGAACTCCCAACTTGTTTTATCATAAAACGGTAATGCTTTTTGGGATCTCCTGGTAATCTGTCGCACTGCCTTAAGAGATACTTGTATAATTTTTTAGCAGGATTAACAAGAGTTGTGCTACAAAATAAACGAGAACATTTGTAAAATATATTTGAAGCGACCATGACTAATTTTAAATGTGAGGTTCTCTCTTTCTCCACTACTTCTATTGGCCAAGATTACTATGATCACTCGGCTAGGTATGATTATGATTCAACATTTACTTTATAATCTGGAGGGTGCCTTAATTAAAAGGGACTGGACGAAGGAAACGGAAACAACACATTGCGCGTTACAAATTAATAAAGTACCTCTTCAGTAAACTGAATAAGTTAAATTTGTTGCAACTGCGTATGCTATTGTGGTATTAATCTTAAATATTTTTGGAATAGCGCCATCTAACGTGCGCACGTTTAAACCTTTATTGCATTTTATTTGTTAGTTTTACGATGTAGCGTGAGAGGGACGACTAGGGATTTTCATGATATAACGTTGGTTGGTCTTTTAGGGGCATTTTTTGCTTTTGAGACTCTCCATGCGGGATTTGTACGGAATGCGCGATCAAAGGTGGTTGAAATAAAGTTTCTCAGAAGTAATTTTTGTATGATTAGCAGTTCTTGATATACCTATACCAGGACTAATCCACAGTCAATACTTAAGTGGTCCTTGGTGACCATATTTAAATATCCAGACATTTGATACTTTCTATATTCCAAGTATGTATCCCCGAGTAGAAAAATTAATTTTGGGTTTGGCACAATTTTTTTTAAAACCAGGTGTTTAAGTCAAATGGATATTATAACATCCTAACTTATGCTTTGAAATATTATAACATTGTAATTATATAAAACTGTTGTAATTAACAAAAAAGTTTGGGGATATTTCCCTGTGCACCAACTGAAATTGGATTTTGTTTTACAATATACAAATGACAGTTTATCAGCCTTCTTAGTTACAGTATATCAAAAACTAACACTTAACATACAAATGAGCATAAAGCCTATTTTTATAGTCAGTTTTATTAATACCTTAAAATGTACAAATCGAAATTATATTATCCCGATTTTATTGGCTACGTCCAGCGCATCATAATCTCTTGCCAATCTGACGTAGGCTTTCTTTTTGCCATCAGGCCGAATTAAGGTATTCACCTTAGCCACATTGATATCGTACAATTTTTTAACCGCTGCTTTAATGTGGTGCTTGTTTGACTTTGTATGGACCAAAAACACTAGGGTATTGTTGTCTTCAATCTTTTTCATAGCAGCTTCGGTAGTCAATGGATATTTTATGATATTGTATGCATCCATACGAGAACGGCTCGGCACACTTTTCCTTGGATATTTAGGGTTCCTTGGAGGTCTAAGTGTTTTTGGCCTGTGAAAGTGTACTGAGGTACGGATTTTGCGGCTATGAGTTCCATTCGGGCCTTTAATAACCTGTAAGCAAAGAACAACATTATAGCACTATTACAAAAAAATAAAAATGAGTATTTCAAGGAACAACAATATCAGTTTTGTGTTTTAAAGGTTCATCAACTTGTATCTCAGAGAGATTCCCACACATAAATCATCATTAGAAATTTTTATACTGCAATAAAATAAACAAGACTGAAAATAATTTTTACAAGCTGGAAGCAAAAATAAATTTATTCCTACCTTCTTCTTAATTCTTAAAGCTTTGGCAACAGGAGTTGCAACAACTGTAGCTTTCTTGCCAACAATCCCTTTTTGCTGTTTAACCGGTACTCCCTTCTTTGGCTTGGCCAAAAGTGGTTTGGGGGGCACTTTAGCTTTACCTGCAGGTTGCTTTTGCACCGGTTTCTTGGCGGCCGCACCTTTTGCAGCAGGTTTGGCAGCACCTACAATAAATAAACTATTAGTTCACAAGATCAGAATTCAAGCAATCAGTTCTTAGCATTTAACCTTTGGCTGCAGGCTTAGTACTTCCTTTAGCAGCTGTTTTTGTTGTTGCCTTTGCTTTAGGTGTTTGTGCCGCCGCTTTATTAGAGGGTTTCGGAGCTGATTTTGCAGCAGATGCTTTGCTGGCGGATGGCTTTTTTTCAGGGGGTTTTGACGCAGCAGTAGAAGCTTTTGCTGCAGCTTTTGGGGCAGGGGCCGGAGTTTTAGAAGATCCCGATGATGTCGAACTCGATGACGCGGTCGTCGATTTCTTTTTTTCGTCTTTTTGACCTGCTAAATATAAGCAGTATAAAAATGACGGCAAAATAACCTCAAAATGTAAAATTTTCAATATTCCATATGGGTACGGTTTTGCTGAGTTTATTAACAAATTTTTGAGAGTTTCAAGTAGCTTTTAAGATTTCTGCTCCTCTGCACTAATTCCGAATGCCACTTGCAACAAACAACTTAAACCCATGTGGAACTCATGAACGCGTGGAATAACAGCATGTCAAAAAAAAAGAGTTGTTAGTCCAAAAGGTAATACAAAAAATTAATGTAGCTACGAACTATCCTCTTTAATCGTAAAACAAATTCTCGTTTCACCGAATTGTCACCTTACCGGATTTTTCCGTAGATTTTGGCTTTTTTGGAGCCATTTCCTATGCGATTCACTTTAAAAAGAAGGTAGAGAATAAGAGGTTGTCCGTAAATTGACAACCGGATGAAGATGGTGCTGCCATCGAGTCAACTGACAGCGGCGCGAAATATAAATAATTAGAATAGTATATTATTTCCAAAATTGAGGCAATAATTATTTTTACTTAGTACTGAAATTTTTTCGCAATTAGAACTTATTTTATTATTTACACTTGATTAACGCAAAAACACTACTTATGAAAATATAACGGCTGGTCTGTACAGGGACGAGAATGGCAATAGCAATACAAACAAATAACTCATTTGGGTTTCCATCTAAACGTAAAACATTGTAAAGATGGCAAATGAAATTATTCACGCTGACAAGGATATCGAAAAGTTTCCCGTTCCTTATGATCGAAGTAGCACGCCTTTTGTTCAAACTGATTTTAGTCAAATGACTTACGAAAAAAGTTTGTATGAGCAACAGAAAAATAATACTGCAGAATTGTTAAACATATCTAAAGTTATCATTATTGGTGATGTTTCTGTTGGAAAGACTTGTATTATTAACAGGTAAACTTGTTTATGTGATGAAAAATTGAAGTTACTTTATACATTATTGCCACGATCTAGATTTTGCAAAAAAATGTTCGAAACCAACTACAAATCAACAATTGGGGTTGATTTTGAAGTTGAAAAATTTAAAATTATTGGAATACCCTTTTACCTGCAAATGTATGTATATAATTGAAGGTTGGAAATGCTAAAGGGGGTATATGCCAAAATTACATTTTTCAGATAATCAAGAAAAATTGGTTAAATTTACAACAACGGTTATAGTTGCCGGTGTTCGTAAAAATAAGGTAAATGGAGATTACTCAATAATTGCGATGGGCACATATTCCTTTTCTCAGGACATGCGGCGGGGCACGTACGACAATTCAAACGCAAAATGTTAATGTATCAAAAAATGAGACATACCCCCTTTGACATTTCCACTCTTTAATTTGCAAATTAATATAAGCAAAAAGAACAGCCGCGATTTTTTTTAGATGGGATACTGCAGGACAAGAAAGATTCAAGAGCATAGCACAATCCTATTATCGAGGTGCTCATGGTTGGTACACCGCAATAAATATTTTTTTATTTTTTGATTTTATATGTATTTTGTATAATTATTTCAGCCATAATTATCGTTTTTGACTTATCCGATCCACGTACGTTATTAAACATTAAAAACTGGCTTATGGAAGCCCTGAACGCTAACATCGGAAAAGATCCTTTTGTATTTCTTGTGGGGACCAAGAGGGATTTGATTGTAATATAATTTTTTCGTAATTACTATTTTCTATAAAGTATTGACAACACGTTTTTAGAATAGCTTTGAATACAAAAACATAAAATGGGCTGCAGTTAAATTGGCAGCCGAATTGGAAGCAGAATATTGGAGCGTTTCTTCTAAAACCGGAAAAAATATTGCCAAACTATTTGCCAGAATTGCCGCAATCACTTTTGATGAATACATGTGCAAACAAAATTCAGTCTCTAGTAAAATTAACATTGGGACTAAATTAATAAACAGTATTTTAACGATTAATTAACGCTAAACAATAATAATTGAGTAACTGTTTTTAGGTGCTTCATTGGAAAGAAACTCTAGCAGTACTTGTTGTGTGAGATACGGAAAACTTTCGAAATAACTCAAAATTGTCATCCTTTAAAAAGGTTTGAGGTTGTTTAAATGGTTGCCTACCAGGAATAATGAAATAAAACTATATAACTTGTATTTATTAATTTAATGCGTGTATACACACTTTAAAAAACTAATTTTTTATGTTAGGAAGATTGAACCTAATTGTTTCCAAAAGTATACTTCACTGTTTAGCTGTTTGCCTATATCAGGTACCAAACAACAAATAATTGGTTGACGTTGCACACGTGATCTGAAAAATAAAAGGCCAGCCTTTTGATTGAGGTATACACGAAGTGTACCCAGACGGGAGAGCAATCACTTTTGTTGGAATCAAACATTTGTGGACGTATATTACGTCGTAGTGTTTTTTTAGATAATTAGCTCATAATTAAAAGTGCAGTGCAATTGCTGATGTTTTAAATTTTTAGGTTTTGTTCCATAATCATATTGCGTTTTTAATTATTTTTTCTCCGGTAAGTTCTTGTGTTATATTATTTTTATCTGACACAGTAAAGTTGGTAATACGGTGCCGTATTATTATTTTTATTTTATTTTAATAATTTTGAACCCTTTGTGTTGTGATATTTGTGAAACGAAAAGATCGAATTTACTATAACCACAGTTAATTAATTTGTTACGATGACAGATTGTATACTATGTGCAAATATATAAAAATGTTAAGAACCCGGTAAAGAGCAACACTTTATTTTCAGCCATATTTTTAACTGCGCAAAACTTAACAAAAAATAGGTAAATTTTATTGTTATAAATGCCTAATTGATGATAAGATACTTACAAATGAAGTAAATAAAAAATATTTCAAAAATATATTTTGGATTGGGTATCTATTATAATAAACTTCATTTTCAGAGAAAATTAAACGGTATTTCCTTTGATTTTAAATTAAGGATGGGTTGTACTCATATAGGATTCGTAATAAGTATATCAAATAGTTCGAAATTAAATATAAAATTTTGTTTTTCTAAGATTTGCTTTGGGTTAGAATGAATACACTGAAAAATTAGTAAGCAGCGCGGTATATATCCGATAAATAAAAAAATTAGGAAATTAAGAAATTACCTTAAATTATGGGGCTTTCCCTTGCCCATCAAAACGAAAAAAAATGTTTTGAATCAGTAAATTAAAACGTAGTATTATTAATATTTATGTTTTTAATCATGTATACAAAAATGGGCTTATATTGCATCAGAACAATAGAATTTTAAAACAACAGGATTGCTAGGTAGCCTTTGATTCCTTTTTATCGATTTTAGAATGCCTATTCCGACGTCATGAATTAAAATTGATGATTAGTTTAGGCTTTAAGCTGCGCTTCGCTCGTGCCAGGACAAAGCCGTGACTAAAATTACTTTTATCGAATTTGTTGCATATTCCAACTTCGCACATCATCCCTCGGTTAGTTTTGGTTAGTTAATCCTAGTTTGAATTTACGCTATTGTAGGCTGAGCATCTGTCCACGTACTTCTTATTCGGTATCCGTAAGATTTGTTCCTTGTATATAGAGCGGATATTTCATGGGTATTGATGGTATGATACTTCATTTCATTCATTCAAACTTTAGATCACTATTCATGACCGATATAACATTTCGCAAGTATTTGTACGTCTTAATTCTAGTAACGTTAGAAAATAACTGGTTTATAGATAAATTAATATTTTTTGAATTAAAAAAAAAACGGAAAAGCTTGCATCAATAACTATAGGGAAACCTCAACAATAGCGGTAGAGCGGAGTTTAAGTTTCCGCAAGTTGACAAGCATTCATTTAGGCGTTTTACTAAACTTTTAGTCATGCATCTGACTATATTAGTGCCTATTTTTTATATTATAAAGGCTGTAGATTCTAAAGATCAACGATAACACAACGCATTTTTGTATTGCTACGATTTTATGAAACACACTTTATAATTGAAAATATTTTGAAAATGAAAAAAACATCTATTTAAATGATTTGCCACACTATTGCGCCACCCGGTATATCGATTGTTTGCGCAAATTCATCGCTCGACAATAGCTTCCGTCATAACAACTCATTACGAATACACGGTGATTTGCATTTCTGCATTTTTATAATGGTATTCTTTATTATTTTTCGAATATCTTAATTTGATGGTATTCTCTACAAATTTTTTGGGTAACATGGTATTAGAAATGTGAACAGATAGAATAGAATAGATAGTTCGTTGTCTTCATTTAAACTAGTTTAGCTCTGGATAGTTTTGTTTCAAAAGAGGGCCCAAACTTTGTAAAAGTGTAAATTTAGGCACAGCTTACTAGTCAGATGCGTTTTTTATTTCAAAACCACATAAATCAAAAATGTCATCATCATTTTCAGAAACCTCAACATACTGAAAAATTAAAGAACACTTTGGTTAGTATAATTACATATAGCATAAAAATTTCGGGCCCTACTTTTATAGACGTCGACGGTAAAAATACATCTAAAATACACTAACCAAAACGGTTTTAGAAAATACTAATAAGATTTGGGGTAGAGGGCTAAATCTGCTGTTTTATCCTGCCTAGTTTTCTAGATCGTTCAATTTAAAATTTTACATCAAAATTATGAATATGTACTTGATATAAATATAGAAAGAAGTGTTGTATATTAAATTAAATTCAAAAATAAATCAAATATTAGATATGTTCCATCTAAAACTGTAAATGTGATGTTGATGTTGAATGAAGTTGATGCGACGTTGACTGAGGATATTTTGAAATGAATGTTATAAACAAACCAAGAATTAAAGTTGAAATTTCTTAAAATAATAAATAAATCAAAATTAACTTTGTTGCTACTTTCTAGACCTTTCTAATTACGATTTTCAGTCGCCGCCATTGTTTCACAAAGGAAAATAGTCATTATTTCGTACCCGATAACAGACACCTTATCTGGCCAACGTATACCTGTACCTACTCACCAGTAAAATTCTGCGTCGTAAAATAGAAATATTTTAAAAGTTAAACTTTATAGATAAGTGTATTATTGAATTACCCATATTTGATTGAAGTTTGTGTTTTGTAACTTCGTGGTTTATGATTGATTTCTAAGATAGTCCTAATCCTAATTATCAGCAGATGTTGTGATATTCAAAATTAAAATCGACAGTTTAAAAATGATTTTGTTTCTTTCTTATGCCAGATTTAATATGCGATTTTTTACGAATAAAATTATCTGATTTTTCAACGATGCAACTTTATTGCTGCATGACCTCGAAGCGTTCTCGCGTAGCAATTAACGGCATGAAACCAAGTTGCATCAAATTAAACTTTTGAGTGTTTCTAACTGCATATTTATGTTGGCAAAAGTATATTTTAAACTGCTGCTGGAGTAACTTGGAATGCTCGTGGAAAGTTATTAATAAGCTTTACGATTACATGAAAGTAATGCTTTTATTTACTTTTTTTTTAAGGTAATTAAATTAAAGGATACGCGTCTTTCTTTATATTCAAATAGACCATGTGGGTGTGATTAGATTAAATATGAAAAACTTATCTTGATCTGGTATATTTTTGATCTACTATAGGGTATTTTAGCAAGGGGTCTGCAACTTCTTATTTGTGCCAATTTTGTCTTCCTTTAACAGATTTTCGAAAGATATATTTTTGAATAATTTTGTTAAGACACCTTTTTTTCTAGATTTTTACATTCCGCATAAAATTTTCTCAAATTTGGCGCACCCTGTAAAATAATGGTAGAAATTTTGCAGATTACTTTAGATATTTAGATATTTTAATTTAAATATACCTAGTGGAAAATTTATCACGCAAAACATATCACATTAATTCAATATTTTATGTAAACTGCGTAAATTTGGTTGGTTTGACCTTTGCGTATATCTTGGGAATAATTTTACATTCTATATCGTGAACGTCAACAACAGTTTAGACAAAAATTTTTTTGGAGTGGTCCGAAAGGTGATAAGGTTTTATTAAAACAACCAAAATCTTGGACTTGGATTCTAAAGGAGATAGATATTAATGTCACATGGATAACTGACGTGTTTTTAAAAAAAATCTTTTTTAATTTTTTGCTATAGAAACGTATGTTTCTATTAAAACTGTTCCATACAACTTTTTACGTAGAATTTAACGGTCGGCGTATCATATAATCTTTTCAAAAATATGGCACACTTGGTATTTTGCACGTTTAAGTTCTTTTCATTGATTAAAAAAAAAAAACAAAGAAAAAATTGGTTCTGGGGGTAACTGTTAAATGATGTGTTTTGAAAATATTAGTTATATTGAACCCATTAAATTCTGCGTAAAAAGGCGTTTTTTAAAAATGAAAAAATTTATTCTGCACGCACATTTTCGCAAAAGAGCCTATAACGATTAAAAAGCATCCCATTTGACCCGTCCTGTGTTGTGTAGATTCACAATTTGTTCACAATTTCTCGAGGTTCAGGGTGTTTAGTAAGTAACTTTCCACACTTGGTTTGTTATTTATCTATTTTGTTGTTTATAAGATGTTAAAATAAAAAATGCGCCTTAGACCTAACAACTTTATCTATAGATACGATGACAGATTTCAAATACTCAGAATTACAATTTTAATTTTTATAATCAGATTTGCAACATGTTGTTGTAAGCAAAAAAGTATTATCAGTCGAAAATTCAGTATTACTGTTAGATCGGACAAATTAATGGAAGGTGGTTGAATAGTTGCTTTGTTCAGAATTGGTCTCAGTTGTAGGTGCAGTTATAAGAAAATTTGATAACAGCGCCATCGATTGATGTTAGGGGATGATTGCCAGTTTAGGTTATGTTAATATATAGGGTACTTTTTAACTACATCAAATCGATTTCTTTTAAGTAAATTAAAATTGTTTTTCTAAAGAAAATAAGAATGTTTATAACAAAATTTTAAACTCAGTTTAGTATCATGTTATGAGCAAACTACTAATATTTTGAACCAAAAGAGAACAAAGTAGTGATGTCAAATGCTTTTGTTTAATCATTTGTAACTTTAAGTCAAATCAAAAGCGCGCAATCAAAAATGTTTGTCTGCAAAAAGCAATTATTGAAGTGCAATTTCAAGAAGTGTAAGTATAGAAAGTAGTGTTTTTCACTTATCTTTCTGAAACTAACGATCATTCTCCTATATTAAACACAAATTGGTGGACAAAAAAAATGTTTGTGAAGTTTCACATTTCAAGAGCCGTACCGGTACAAATTCGACTCTTATGAACGTTTTTTTTTTTAAATTAAATCTAAAGATTTTTACAAGTACTTACTAAACATCTTGTATGGCAAACACGTGCATTTACGCTCGAAATTTACCTAGTACGGAACGTGTTTGAAATCTTTTCGATGTGGTTAAGACAATACAACGTCTTATCTTCACGGTATAACAGATAAAGCTATGCACAGTATTTATAAGATGAATTTGTTAAGATAATTGAATAGGTTTAGTGTTTGGCTAGGTTTAACTGTTCATAAAACTTTGAGTA